TTAGAAATGAAGTTTGATATATTTTATAGTTAACTCGTTGATTTCATAGCGCTTTGTAAGGGAATCATAGGGTAAATTGTGTCTGAACTTTGAATGATTTTTGTTTTCTTAAATGGTGCAAAGTAGTTTTCTAAAATGGATCTTAAGAGCGATTGGTTAGTAAATATTTAGTTTTAAATACCTCTGACGGCTCTACGAAGCCTATAAATGATAGCGCAATTAGAATATTTAAGAGGAGAGTAGAAGATTATTTTGAAGAACTTGTTGAATTTAAAAGGCCTTTGGGGTCGAATTGTCGTAAGTTAAAACGTTCTTCTTTTTGAAAGGTTGTTTGGCTATTGACAGTTTTTAAGCCTGTCACTTATTTTATTAATACTTAAATTTAAGCATTTGTAAGGTTGTTCGGTTTATACTTCTCTCCATTTTTTTTGTAATAAATTGTTGTTCGATTATTTCCCCAAATTTTATTTGGTATCAAAGTTTCGTTAAGTCGACCGGAGTGCAACAAAAGTAGAATCAAAGTTTGCTAAAGTTTTGTAGCTTGATCTCTACACTTTTCATTTCATTACATGTTAAAAATAAATTATTTTATTATGATAAGGGAAACATTAAATCCAGACTTTATTTAATGTAGTTTTCACGTGGGAAGCGATTGCCTTACTCCGATTGCCTATGAAAAAGGAATAATAACGTCTAAGCAAATATTTAAATTAGCTGTTAGTTAAATAGTATCTCTTAGATGAGGTAACTTTGATGCTATAATATTAATAGCTTCCTATTGCCTTTTTTATGTAATCCATTTTCAGGAGAAATTTGGCTACCATTTTAATTTACTTGATATTGGCGGAGGTTTTACAGCTTTTTCAGCCCTAGAAACGACCTTTGCGAAGGTTAAGTATATAAAATTTAATATAGCATCGATTAACAGATTTTTTATTTGACTTTACAATGTGAGAAATTCTAAATTACAAATATGTGTTTCCAAATTTTAGGCAGCTGCAGTTATTAGTAAAGCATTACAGAAATATTTCCCTCCGGAGTTGGGTGTTAGAATTATTGCTGAACCAGGTTATTAGTTTATAATATAGCACATAGTTCCTTAATTCTATATAATGCGCTAATTTTTGATCCATTTAGAAGTCATCCTTGAATTTGGAGGGAAAGGATAACGATGCCAGGGAAAGATAAAAACATGAACGGAAATATGTGGGGGTAAATAAGGTTACTCAAAAATATGACCGTTGCTGCGGACAGTTAAAAGATTTTATTAAAGCTAAATTGAGCAGATCGCGGCCGATCTGCAACGGAACTTGTTGCCAAGAACTATTTATAAATGTTTGTGAATGTTGTTTTTGAAGGGGAAGAGTTAGGAAACTGTTTTCTCAACTCTATCCTAGCTATCCATATCATTGTTAATAGCTGTACTGTAAACTATAGCGTACACTGTACGGTACAGAAATGCGAAGTATAGGGGCGATATTCGATAGTCCCTGTCCCTGCTGTACAAAAATGCAAAGTGCAGGGACGGTACTTGATACTTTTCTGATGTGTATTAGAAAAGTATCCAGTAGTCTTTGCTATTTGTACGCATTTAACCTTCGCGTTAGCGGCAATCTATCGCAGATAAAAACAATCACATATGACCAAAGGTAAATACGAAAGAAAGCAGGGCTTTCCTTCAAAGGCATTGTTATTATCTGAAAATCAAAAGGTTGGGTATACAGTAGTTACTAAAAACAAGATATGACATCTCATTGGCTAAATAGATATCCAGCAGCGTCATTATTAATAACTACACAGCTGCTCCATATAATTATTAGATTTGCATATAATTAATAGATTTGCAGCCAAAATTTCTGTAAGTGTACTTGCATAACGTTCCGTTAAATATACGCTAACAGGTTCAAATGTAGAAATGATCTTGCGCAGCTATCGCTATGGCCTCTCAGTCATAATTTTCAATTGTCAGTTCCATTAAAAGTGAATAAAAGTGATGCCCACTGCAATACCGAAAGTCATTTAGGCAAATCCTATGTGGATATTGACTATGTAATTTATTAGTGTCATAACAAGGGTATGCCGCAGTAACAAAACAGTTCGTAAGTCAACAGTATGTTACAGGTTAACTATGTTAGTAAACCGTATGCTAAAATTTAGTACATATATTTAATGGAACGTTATACAAGTACACTTACAGCTCTTTTGTAAATTTCCAACTTAAAATTTTGGCTGCAAATCTAATAATTCATTGCACCAGCTGTGTAGTTATTTATAATGACACTGCTGGATATCTATGTTAGCCAATGAGATATTTTGCTAGCTGTACCCATAAATTTAGTATGTATATTTAATGGAACGATATGCAAGTACACTTACAGATCTTTTAGTAAATTTCCAACTTGAAATTTTGACTGCAAAAGTAATAATTATATGCAAATCTAATTATTATATGCAGCAGCTGTCTAGTTATTAGCAATGACACTGCTGGATATCTATTTTAGCCATTAAGATATCATTTCTTGTTTTTTGGTAGCTATAACCAGATAGTTGCATAGAATTCAGCAATATCGTCGATTTTCCACTCTTTGCAAGTGGCCTTAGTGGGTGACGGATTCACTTTCAAACGTCGTCCAGTCTCAACATTAACTTTAAAATTATAGGCATGACTTGTATAGTAATCCTACGCTGACTTAATCATACAGTAATTCTACTAAAGATTGTAACCTTGATCTTAATGAATTGAAGGAGAAGAATAGTCGAAAATAGCATACCGTCCATTAAGGTCGTGAATATTTTTCTTGAATTGACACACTATCCATCCATCTTTTCGTAGACTTTGACACGTGTAGCTCATCTATTCAATTCAATAACGCCATCAGGATGGAACGTGTGGAAATCGTACCTAATCTATCCCTACAGGAACTCATTGAAAAGAAAACGACAGCGATGGACCAACAAGTAAACTTATCATAATTGACCTGATAGTATCAATGTACTAGATTTCATGTTCAATTAACTCGTACGGAAAATCATTTCATATTCCAAATGAAGAGCACTATCATAAAAGTGAATTGTTGCTATGAATTAATCGCTGCGTTTTGCAGACATCCTTCATCCATTCAAAATTGTTATTATTATTAGAGATATTTCAATTTTTTCCTTATTTTTTACCATCATCATTACTCTTGTCAAGAGAAGAACAACTTTTTCGCATCTAGTTCTAAAAATGTTTCTGAATTATATTTTTCTACAATCATCATTACTCTTGTTGTCAAAAGAAGAACAACATTTTCGCGTCTTATATAATTCCTACTTTTATTGTGAATCTACTTGTGCTCATAATATTTATATTTACTCCACCCTTTAATGAAAATGCTTCTATTAGTTTAAGGACGATTCATTCATGTTAGTTAACATCGGCAATATAATAGAACGATATCGTGAGGTAATAATGTTTTCGGTCAATATTTGCCTAGATACGATAAAATTAATTAGCAGTAACATTCAAGTAAGAGATAGTATATAAATAGATAGTCAAAGTAGTGATTTTTCTTATTAACATGTGATAATA